ACGGGTTGAACGTCTTACCTCGTAAATAGAAACACTGTTACTACGAGAGGGTCGATTTTCCATCGACGACGTTTGTTGCGGAATGCAATTCTATTGAAAAACAATGCGCACATTACTCAATGCAGTCAACTCCCGTTATACCGGACACCTTCGGGACACAGTCATTATGTGTCTGCAATAGCGAGTGTCCGCTGTAAAGGGGGTTATTTTCGGTACAGTCAACTCTCGTTATGCCGGGCACCCTTGGGGCAGTAATTAAGTGCCCGTAATAGCGTGTTTACGCCGTAAATGGAGTTATTTAAGTAATTTCTTTCAGAGGAAATATAATAACGTGTCTGTAATAACGGGATGTCCGTCATGACAGGGTGTTTATCTGTAAGTGTAATGCCTAAAATAACTCCCTTTACAGCGGACACTCGCTATTGCGGACACCTAAATAAATGTGATCACGAAAGTGTTAATTATGACGAGAGTTCTACACTATTCAACAACTATGCTCCAACATYMTGCGATYTTTTTCAAATATTGATAGCGAGTTCAGCACAACGAGGTTACGATGCCCYGKATGTACYTACCTCTGGCAATGTGCCATTGGAAGGTCCATTGTATGGAGGCATAAGWCCTTTGGCGCGCTGAAAGAAGAGCATTKAATTTAATCCCYAGTCCTCCCCTAAGAGTCTKTCCAGTRACGTCAAACGWCCATACGACYTTACTTACCGCTTGTCTAATGGCATTTTCTGGCATGGATTTTGAGAAACCAAGACCACTCCATGTATCTGTTGGTACACGAACTTCAGGATATTGAACTTTCTTTTGCATCGCTATAAATGCAAATAAAATGAATAAGCTTTTATAGACCTCTGAAGCTTTTACGTCATGTACCGTATACGCAATGCATTGTAGGATATGTTTGGGAAAAAACATGAAGGATTTCTTTTGTTTTGTCTTGAAACTGATCCCACAATGCATTGAAAATCAAGTAATGACGTAAAAGGTTCAGAAGTCTCTACATTGACTGGTCTATTGTGCATTGCAATCCAGCTTTTACTTTAACAGTCAACTACAGGGTCGAGTAATGAACGTCCTTTACCCCAACAGTCTTTGGCAAAAACAATAAAGCATTCCTCCAAATCCTACAACAGTCTTGGTGATGACCGTACACTACACTGAAGTCGCGCGCGATGTAAATCGACCTTTCCTTGTGATTAAATAGTGACAATAGAAACAGTTTGCGAGTTTCTGAATTTACCTTTGGATGCTAGTTCCTTTTTCCTTTCGTATTCATCAATCTGGAAAGACAATGCAATTACATGAGTTCAAATCATCTGTACCAAATATTAATACCTATATAAACTGTGAAA